TTTCGTTAAACCTCTCATCGTGGTGCAATAGCCTGATGACGAGCCACTGAAAAGGAACTCCTATATTACAGACTTTTGAGACTAGATTATAACTAGATGAAGTGTTTTGAGTACCTCTGCAACCTGTTGAGCTGATTTGGGTAGCACTCTTCAAAGGTAGAAGGAAGACAGATATTGCAGCCCAGTTGATTCATCTCTTGGCGAACAGAAAGACTGGGGGGAATCGAAACCAAAAGAGCAAACAAGACGATTGAAACGATCACTGCTGGTGAAGACTAAGATGTCATCAACAGAACGCTTGTACAACGTTGCTTTGTCAATGCTGGTTGCGATTTTTCTTCCGACCAAGTCCAGAAAAATGTCTGCTAAAACAGGTCCCAAAAGATTGCTCACTGCAACGCCGACCATCTGCTTGTACGCGGTTCCGTCAAACAATAATCGGACATTTCCTGTGCACAGTGGAATAAGTTTGCTCAGAAACTCACAGACACCTTCTGGCTCAAGGAAAAGTAGAAAAAATACAAGTTGCCCTCACCAGCAGTAATCATTTCGATCGCCTATTTTGCAATTTTGATTTTGACCCACCCCAATCTTCCTGTATCCCAAGAGATGGGTCAACAGAAATGCCTTCCTTTTTAGACATATTTATCAAGAGGCAATCCGAGGGTACACTTCAACGTACTGTTCACCGCGAAGCCACATGAAGTGGGCAATACCTTCACTTTTCTAGCTTGGCTCCAGCTGCATACAAACGCAGCCTTGTGAAAACTATGTTCTATAGAAACAGGCGCTTTTGTAGCACTGAGACAAGAAAGCCGACAAACAGTTCATACACATGACTCTGCTGACTAATGGGTATAACGAAAAGTTTATCGAGATTTATAACAGACCATCTAAAATGGAGCTACTGGTGTACACAGCAGAGAAATAAAGGTGTGTTTGTTCTCGTCATTCAAAGATGACCTTATCGGAAATGAATTTGCGCACAAGCTCAGGTCTGTCTTAGAGCGGTTACGCAACCGCGCAGTTATGACATATACACACCACACGAAGGCTGGTGCTTCATCACCATCGGAACAGTCTGTCGGACAGTCTGGCCTCGCGTGTTATCTACCAGTTCAGTTGCAGCTGCGGTGAAATTTACATTGGCAAGACTGACCGTCGACTGGCCCAAAGGGGAGCCGAATACCTTCTAAGTTGGTTAAGATGGTCCATGTTGTAACAAGACGGAGTGGATCAGGTGGCAAAGCAGAACTCCGTACCTCGTGACCACGAGATATCACGTGGACACATCGAGCACTTTCAAAATACTCCTGGGTTGTAGTAAACCGAAACGGCTGGCAATCGACGAAGCACCGCTGATCACGAAGAGTGGTCCAACACTTTGCGCACAGAAGCAAGTGAGGCAACTAGTTAGATTGCCATGGTCCTGATTGGCCTATTGATGTTTGTACATAAACGTTGATTTCATGTTTGTATTTTTGTGTACTTCTTGTACGCAGTGCGTCCGCCAATGACGAGAGCAATTGAGATGTTAACATAATGCGATACCTGTTTCCGTTCTGCGTCGATGAGGTGGTTAAATTGAGCAAAATGTTTCACACTTTTGAAATGCCTTAGCCACATAACGTATAGGGGTCAGGTCAATGCAACGTCAACATCCTCTTCGGAGGCTAGAGAGAGGTCGATGACCCTCTTCCCTTAGAAATATAGCCATGGAAGGTAACACGTGACGGGCTATAACTCCATAGTTCGATTGGCGTACAGCATGAGTGTCAAGCATTGTTTATATCAACGGGAGAGAATCGTCTTAAGCCAAGCGGTCCTTAGTCAAATTGGTGCAAACGCACCATAGCCCATCTGTAGTTGGTCGTAGTCATAGTTGCGAAGCATTATACCGCCGAAAACTATATGCGAAACGTTGTCTCCAAATACCGCGTGTGGCAACCCTCAAACAGAACCCAATGGGTCTGCAATCACACTCCCGAGCTGGACTTCCTCTCCACTGCCTTGTGAGTCGGGATATTGAGCAAGAGACTCCGGGTGGGGTCCCTTAAGCCAACCTCAATATACCCCCATGCTTTGCGTGTTAGACTGTTGAGTTAAAGTCTAGAGGTAGAGCACTCCGAACAAAACCCTTTCTCGGAATGGGCAACCGGAGAGCATCATCTGCCATCTCGACCTCGTCGCCAATATGCTCTGTTGTTCTTCTGCCCCTTACAACTCCCGGCTTTCTCCGTAATACACCAGAAGGTTGCTGCTTACATACACAGTGCAAAGCTGATGCTATCGATGCTAACATCATTTAAACCTAGGGTATACTTTTACATGGTTATTTCTAACGCCCACATTCTGGGGCAGAACGGCCAAGAAGCAGTACTAACGCATTATACGCTAGCTTGTTATTGATTTGTGCTGAGTCTCCGAAACACACGTAGAGTCGTAACGACCCTTAGAATACCCGGTTCTGAATCTGTGTACAACGATTGTACTCTACGCGTCTCTAGCGATATTGAGACAATGGCTCAAGGTATTAATATCATGGGTATTGTCTACAGTAAACATGCGGAAGGCGATCTACTCGACTGGATACCCGTGAACAGCCGTATGTGTGTGAATCGACCTCTAACCTCTACTGGAGTGAATAGGTACCGTACGAAGACAAGGTTCATTGTCATCGCTTCTGTCCGGAGTGCAGTTCAGAGAACATCAAGGATGATTTTTATCATCATCTCCCATCTCTTCTCCGCATGGTGAAAAATACAGATGTCGTGTTTGTAGCTGGTACCATAGCACACAAGTAGGTCACCTTTCGGACTATGAGTAATATGTGGGATATCATTTGGGAGCCGATGCACAGAAAATAGCGATTGATTTCTGCTACAATGTGCTGGTGACGATCTTTGAAGTAGCAGCAGTGGAGCACAAACGACCACAACGTGTCATCTGGAGCCTACCGAACTCGTCGATGAAAGGAACCAAATTGGACATATTGCCATCAGATACAGATCAGATACGGATCAAGACGGTCCGTAAATTTGGTGTACGTGACTGCATTCCGATCGTGGTTTAATCCGCGTACCCAATGGGACCCAGAGTTTTAGCGCGTCCATAACGCTAGAAAGCAAAGAAAAGTAAGGAGACCTAGAATTGACAAGGAATCTTGGTGGGTGGTAAGGACCCTGGAGATGGGGAAAGCCAGTGTTATTGGAAAAAGCTAACGATTGTTCCGGTTCATCCAGTACATTAATCCAAGTAAGACAAGGAAGTATTGATAAGGTGTCACTAAGTATGGCGCAATGGAATACGGAATCATCTAAACCATCACCATTTTAAAACGCACTCCCCTGAGACTGGATGGGTAACTGCTACGATGCACTGATTCCCTGTTCGAAGATTAACTTTTCACAAAAATCAAAACATTTGCAAATGCCCATCGAAACGAACGTATGTGCACTGAGAGGAAATATAAGGTAACGAGAATGACCAATACATCCTAAGAGCAGTACAATGATGACAATGAGCATCTCGAACGTATCACTAAGTAAACAGCCCGACTAAACATGGTAAAGTATGTTGGATTCAGTAAAGATGCACAGCAGTCCGCCACTAATGTGTAGAAACAACCGGATGTGAGGATATCACTGCGGGCGAAGGACACGTGGTGCAGAAACCAAAACCGATATTGTGGATGAAAGAGCGCGGTGGAATTGAGAATAAGAAAGGTATCATGAAGGAAGTGCGTAAATGGACCCGAATTTTTATGTTTGAATTATTACGGCATTTAGACATGGGTTCTCTAGTACACAATTCATTTGTACCACCTAGTGTCCTCAACAGAATAACTATGGTTCTAGCATCGAAGTGCGGCGGATCCAGTTTCAACGACTCAGGTCGTCAAGATAATAATAATAATAACATAATAACAATAATAATAATCGATATCACGGGTAAGGAAAGCAGTTTGAAAGCAAATGGATACAAGAAAAAAGAAATTATGGAAGACGTGTGTTAAACTAATCGGGACAGAATGAGAATTAATAGCTAGATGCAAGAAACCGGTTAGAGGAACGCTACTGGAAGTGCGAATGTGCCGTGTAGTAGTCACCAACCACTGATGTGGACCATTCTGGAACGCATCAGGCTGACGAAGTTCCTCAGTCAATTTCTTCATGCCTTTTTGCCATGATGATGACTGACAGTTGAATGACCTAATGATACAGTAAAAGGTGAAAGTAACTAACGGCTGTAGTATTTGTGTTGAAATGCATCTGAATTGTGTGTTTACAGCATTAATCGATGTGAATCTTAAAGGGGCGATAATACTTCAGGTATGCCGAAGTAAACGTTTAAAACTGCAGATGTCAGTTCTGTTGCGCCCATTTACTGATGTTTGCTTTAACGTTGTTTGTTTATGGATGCTGTTTCTAGGCTCGGACTACAATTCCACTCTGACACCATTGCAATCACTACTCTTTATATGTAGGTGTCTGAGTGGTTGCTTATTTATCCAGTCCTAATTGGTTGTCTGGTCGCACGGTTTGTGTTCCGGTTGATTTTAACGGTGACGCTATCGTTACGTTATCGTATGGAAAGAACCATGAGTCCCGTTCCTGTCTATTCCTTCGTTCGTTTCCACACTACCGTTAATGGGTGAGAGTAGTTGCGGGGCCCGATAAAAGAGTGAGATGGAATGAGATGGCAACACGGTAACCTTTATGGAAATAGCACAAGTTGTATAAACAGCGACGGGTAGAGGAAGCCAGTGTTGGACCACCGGACTGGATCCCGGTATTGCTTTTACATCCAGTCTGAAAGTGCTTCAATTCGAACGGGGAGCGATCAGCTACTAGTTCTGTGCTAACTATGAATACGCTGATAAGTACACATAGAAGGAGCAAGTGCATTATTCAGTTCCTGTCAACCAATCAAGCGTTAACAAAACAATGTCATATAATGATCAATGGCTGAAGATCTTTCAATTCGGTTGATGAACTTGCCTGAGTTAGAAAGTGTGAGGATGTCGGTTGATCAAGGTCCAAGAATTCAGAGTGTTCTAGATTCAACCGATTGGCGAGTTTTGCAACGTCAGCAGACACAGCATCACACTGTAGCCGTAATTCTTGCAGTATGACTTCACAGTGATTCCGGAGATCTTCAAGCTCTTTCAGAAAACTTTTGGAGAGCGAAACGACTTCCAGTGCGTCATCCGCTTTCAGACGAGAAATTAGGTCGTATTTTGACAAATGTGACAGACTGGCCGCGGAATCAGCGCTTAATATATCGCGCCGGAGTTCTGAGAGTTTCAGAAGCCGAGCACGCTAACCCGATTAAAAGCGGTGATTGGAATAACAACTCACCTTCTCTAACGTCAAATTATCAATATTTAGCTTCAAAGCACGTAACTGGTCACGGTTGGGTGCATGAGCAAAGACGATAACGGTAGTTGATTCATCTAACCTAGCAGCTAATGACTCTTCTTCCCTACGAAGAGCTTCGTAGGTTTTCGTTATGACGGCTGCTTTTTCCTCCAAAATTTTGAAGCGATCATGTAGGTGCTTTTCGGTGAGCACCAAACTTGAAGATTCTGAAAGACGTTGGGGGGAAAAGCCAAGTTCAAGTTCTAATTCTTCAATTTGAACCTGAATTAAGTGTACATGAAAAATAAGCGTAAAGACAAACTTACCTTCAAACTCTTGATCGAGTTTGAGATCGATCGCTTGGCGACTAGTTCTTCGTCATACATTGCGTCCAACATTGATAGCAGATGCGCCGACAGGGTTTCCCTGCGAGCTTCGAGGAGCGGACCCTCGATACCAATGGAGGTCCAGATTTCGGTGATAGAATCTATCTTGGACTTGGCCCTATCGATCAAAATGTCAATCCAACTTGACTCCATTGATTTGCGATTAGGTCATTAATGCTTTCGGAGAGGAAAGAGCAGAGTATGAGGATACAGAAATACAGAGACAAACTGAGAGAATAATAAAACCAAGCGAGCTGACTAGATCAAGAATGTAGTGAAAACGTGAGTGCTGATAGCCTTGAGACAGCTGCGGTTTAGGAAAGCAATATAGTAAAATAGCCCAAGTTTGGCAAGCATCTCGGTAACAGAGGTTTATACCAGAGCAAAGCACAATCATAATTCTATATCGCAAGCCAATCAAGGTCCAGTTCGAGGAACTCGAGACGATCAAGTCGGAAAGGTCATGGTCTTCGTAGAGCTACAAAACGATTGCATAGGTTCGTGCAATATGCAACACAACAAAGCGAAGAGCATGGAAAAATCTGAGCAGAAGACGGAACCCGTTCAGGTCAGTTCAGTTGTACAACTATGATCTGAGCACATAAGTGCGGTGAATCCAGTTGCTACGACTCACATCGCAAGAATAACAAAGGCAAGATAGTGGGGTTAAAGGCAATTAGAATGCAAAAGATGTGAGTAAAGAAGTGCGTTAAACGGAATGGAAAGAAAAGCACTAGATGCAAGAAACCGAATGCAGGATCGCCACTGACTGCGCCACGTTTGACACGGTATCCAACAATTGGCGTGGACCATCTTGAGGACCCCCGTCCACGAAGACTGCATGCACCAGCCTAACCAAGTTGCTCAGCAAATTACTTCAAGCATCTATGCCATCTCATGAACTGGCCACCTCCCGGTTTCGCCGAAATTAGTGCGGCTACGACGTATAATGCACGCCGAGGAAACCGACCAACGGGCATACGGAGGGTATGGCCTAGCCAATGCAAGCGACTAGGAATTAGCAAACACTCGAGAGAGGCAACAGAAGCCTTCTTGTCAAAATCCAACTGGCAGACCTCAACATTGATCACCCGGTGTTCCCACCAAACGTGAGCAACAATTCACAAGCACCGGTGGTCAAACACGGCCAAGCGTTTATTGTCTTCGTTGCGACCTGGCCAGATCTCTGATACATACACTAACCCCGGCCTCTTCGCAATGTTATACACCCTACCTTTCACTGAGAGGCTGATATCTCGCCGTATCCATAGACGGTGGAGTCTCTGGAAAGCCACATGAGCCTTGCTGATACACGAAGTAACTTCCTCAGTTATGTGATCACCAGAGTTGACACAGCTGTTCGGTAATAGCTAGAACCGGCGGTTATCGGTCCAGTTATGCAATGAGACTTTGCAGGTGGAGATGCTAAGCACAGGCCAAAGCATGCGGCGCAACGCACCAGTCTACCCAGTAGTGATTGCATAGCCACTGCATTAGACTCAAAAAGAGCTTTGTCGTCCACGTGCTCCAGGTTTAACAGTAGGTCACGTGGCAGAACTACCACTCCAGGTAGAACCTGAGAAAACAGGGTCATCCACGATCATTTCAAACTCAAAGTTGAAGAAGAAAGGAGATAGAGGACAACCCTGGCGAGCAACACTTGTCGTGGGAAACTCAGGAGACAGATTCCCGTAGACTCTGTTCCTACTTCTGCATTCACGGTAGAGTAGCTTCGATGGAAAGGAGTTCAACTGGAACGCGCTTCTTGAGTACGCAGTGCCACAAGCTGGCGCGATCAACTGAGTCTAATGCGGCTTTCAAGTCTATAAAATTCGCAATTCGTCATTTGCAAGTGTTTCTGTTCGCTAACACTTGAAAAAGCGTAAATATGTAGTTGACCCAACGCCGACGAGGGCGGAAGCCAGGCAGGCCTTCAGTGATTCGGTTTTTGTTGAAGAATGATACCTGTGAGAAGTCTGGAGGCTATGGAAATAAAGCTAATGCCTCGAGGATTTTCGCACGCTCCTTTTGAAGATGGGCACGATAACTGATAGCCGTCAGTCTGAAGGCCCTTAATTAGCGTTCCATATCGTGTTAAACAAAATAGATGCTAGTCCAGTCAACAAAGAGTAACCACCATCTACCAGCAAAGATGGGGAAAGGTCATCGGATCCAGGAGACTTGTTTCATCTCAACTAGGAAGGCTCGTAACGAATTTCTTCCAAAATAAGAGGTGTGACATCAACTTCCCATGTAGAATCAGGTGAACTGGCAAGCAACAGTGTCGCAGCAGGCCTGCTGAACTGCTCCGCCCAACGGGCTAGTCGACGACTCTGAGAGTGGATCAAATTTCTATCTTTCTCAGCTATTGAATCGTTAATGATAGCTTTCTCGGACCTGTGTTCCGGATGAGCTGGAATAGCACTCCGCTGTTTCCAATAGTGTTGGCTTTCTCTATATCACAGGTCTTTGTCGTCCACCAACGTTCCCAACGAAACTGGGACATAACGTGGTGCGACGGTTTGCGTACCTGTTTGATCCAGTGAGATATACTGGGTGGTGCCCCGGGTCGCTTGTGAGCCACTCCGACTAGGCCGACCCGTAGCCTAAACGTAACAAGGTTGTCTTGTAATCTGGAGGCGCGGGTTCGAGCCTGCGTAGGGGCAGAACGACCCTCGCAGTATCCTTAGCCCACGTGCGACCGGTGGTGGTTGCGCGGCAGCGAAGCGTCGGTACTGCCTCTAGAGTGGTCCCATTAGTTGGTATGCGTTACGCACCTTCAAAGTGCAAAGTGTTGCTGCAGGACCACCAGCCACTTGGTGATCCCATGACCCTAGACAGCAGAAACTCCAGGTAGTTGACCACTTCACTTAACTTGGCACCTATCAGCAACTGAAGTCAGTTCACAAATTGCAAAAGCTAGAACTGCCTTCCTGAATGTGCGACATCTGGCGACAGAAAGGGGTTTCGCTCCGTTTGAAATGCCGTGTATAAAAGGCCACAGTGAGGGCCGTCCTACTCTATGGGAATGAGACTTGGACCCTTCGGTCTGAAAATCTGAGGCGCCTTCAAGTCTTTGATAATCACTGTCTGTGGTGCATTGCTGGTGTTGGGTGGCACCAGCGTATCCGCAACGATGATTTGCGTAGGCGAGTGCTAGGCAATGATAACCAAGCTACTTGCTTGGAACAACAAATAGCGCAGAACAAGTTATGTTGGCTTGGACACGTACTGCGTATGCGCGGTCACCGCTCATCGAGGAGGACCTTGTTTTGTCTGCAAGATGTGGGGTGGCGTAAGGCTCGATGTGGACAAAAGTTGAGATGGCAGCGGGAAATGGAGTTACTGACTAAAAAACTGGATGACGTCGGTCCGTCTCGCCTACCAGGCTGGAGTTCAAGTGACTCGCCTTGTGCTTGGCTCGAGACATCATAGGACATGGCTCGCAGTTGGCACCAGTGGCGCGTCTGGTGCCGACTCCAAATTAGACTGTTTATTTAACGTGTTTGGTGCTGAGTTATGTGCGGGGTAATGGCTGATTATGACGCGATGCAGTGAAAGCCGCAAGGAAGCTGTCTCGCTGATGCCACCTTGACCCTGCATGTCTGCTTAGGACATTAAGGTTTTCCGGTAAGTCCCCTTTCTCTCGCTTTTATTATTCATTGTTCCGCAGATTAATATGGTTATATGGCAGTGAAGCATCAGTTTTGTACTGTTGTTGATGATAATGACGATGACCAACGTTCCCGGTCAATTCGAAGATTCCTTGTCCGAGTTCGGTTCAGGGAGTTACGGATACGTTGAAACTCAGTGCTCATCGGAACCCGTTTACGTGCTTCGATCAAACTGATCGATGCTTCAGCGATCCATTTACTGTTACGACGTCTCAAGTCAGCTGCACAGCAAACGTCAAAGGCATTCTTCATGGCACACTTGAGACGATGCAAGTTAGCGTTCGGATCAGTAACTTCATTCATCACTGACAAATGGTGGGCCAGTTCGTTATGATATTGTTGAACCACAGACTGAATTCAAGTTACAGGTGAAAAGATTAGAAGACAGGCACTTCTTTGAAGTTGGAAGAGTGGGTGCCAAGCGTGCGCACACTGGAGCATGGTCAGAATCCAGGCATGTGCTCCAAATTGACCGACAGTCTTGGACTAATGTGCGCCAACTGCAGCTGATGGCAAAATGGTCAATTCCGGTTCCAGTCATAGACGAATTCGGTGGGCGCCAAGTGACGCCGTATGAACTGTTGTGCTAGAAAGCAGTGTTGCTAACGTAACGACTGTGATCAGCACACAATTAAAAGAATCGATCACCAGTGTTCGGCGTGCATTGACTACGAAGCGCCCTCGCGGATGCTGTTCAGAATCTAAAAGACGACGCACTTTGGCATTAAAGTCACCAGCAACCATCAGGATGTTAATATTCTTCACCATGCGTAGAAGAGCTAAAAGATAACAGTAGGAATCATCTTTGGCACCCTCCGAATTGCAGTCAGTAGGAGCATAAACAGAGGCGATGAAAAGGCATCGTCTTCATTTGGTGCTTATTAACCCCACACATGCGGTTGTTCACCGCATGTCTGCTGAGGGCGATACCAACACCGTAAACACCTTAACCCATTGAATGGACATCACCAGAGATGCGAAGAGTGTAGTCATTGCCGTCGGATTCAGGACCAGGGAGTCGAAGATTCGTCACAATGCTGTTATCGTGTATGCGTTTTTTCGGAGGCACAGCATACATCAATACAGAGAGTGAACATTGAGAGTCAGTGCTGCATGCTGGCCGACCTGATCCAAAGTGCAGACGTTAAAAGAACCAATGGGAAATGAGACTCGTGGTTTGATGAACGAGTTAGGAGTATCGATGGTAGCAGCAGCAGAAGCAAGGTCAGTGGCAGTTTCTTGCTCAATAGACAGAGAAGAGAGTTGAGTTGGGAGAGAAAAATAAGGAGAACAAGAGGAAGTGTTGTCGATGTGGTAGAGAGGGCAGACGATACTCTCCGGATGCGCATTCCGAGAGAAGGGTTTAGTTCGAGGTGCTCTACCTCTAGTTTTTGACTCAACAGTCCAAACCACAAGGTAGTAGGGGATTTGGAGGTTCCCTGGAGGAACTATACCCGGAGCCCTTGGCTTAATAGTATAGCTCACAAGGTAGTGAGGAGCAAGTC